AAACCGATCGTAACAACACAACCGGATCCGGACCAACCCGTTTTGCCTGAGACTTCCTCACGAAAATTATGAAAATGAGGCTGCGGCCTAGGCGCGGCGGGGGGGTCGCGCAGCAGGGGCCCCAACAATAATTATTCTTTAGAAGTAATAATGTTCAACAACAACCACAACAACAACAACAACAACAACAACCACAACAACAACCACAACAACCGCAGCAACAACAGCAACAACAACAACACCATCATAATCACTAACAACCACCATCACCAACAACAGCAAGTGGGTTAAGACTGGTTGCTCTTACCTGCTCGCGTGCCATTCAACACGCATATCGCAAACCCTCAATACCCACCCATTTCGTCACCCATCGTACCTCCATGGGGGTATGTCGTCCTTACCTACCGCGTGTAAATTGTGCAGCCCTGAAGCTGGGGAAAAAAGGACCGATGGAAGGGGGAGGGAGAAGGATGGAGAACGGGATTAGCAAAAGGGGGGCTAGGAGCAGAAAACGCGTGGCAAAACCAGACGGATACATCGCACGGGTAGACACTGACGGGCGGGTCAGGAAGGCGGGCCCAAGCGGCCAGGTCGAGAAGGCGCGCTGCTGAGGCGTGAGCCTTGCATGAATCGCAAGGAAATCTCGAGCGATAGTGCGATTCCCAAATAAATCGTCAGGACATCCACAGCGAGAGCGTGATTCCTGAGCGTCGAGGGCGCGGCGTCTGAATAAATGGCGAGAAAGCCCCACGCGAGAACGCGATTTTGAAATACATGGCGACGAAGTATCAGGCGGGAGCCGTGATTGTTGCAACTCGGGGCCAGGGGCCCAGTTTGGTGACACTTCGCTTTCCCTGGTGGAAAACAGGGTGCGAGCCCCGAGGGAGGCACTTCAATTGAACAAATACAGCGGTACAACAACAACAACAACAACAACAACAACACCAACAACAACAACAACAACAACAACAACAACTGCAACAACTACAATAGCAACAGTAACAGCAACAGCAGAAACAACAACAGTGACACCACACAACCGCAGCAACGACACCGACAACAACAACAACAACAACAGCAGCAACAATAACAAGCACAGCAGCAGCAACAACAGCAACAGCACCACCAAAAACAACACCACAGACAACAACAACAACAACAACAACAACAACAACAACAACATCAACAGCAACAGCTACAACGACAACGATAACACAACACCAGCACCTGACAGCAACAACAAAAACAGCAACAACAACGACAACAACAGCAGCAGCAGAGGAAAAACAAAAAACAATAACGACGGCAACGCCAATCATTCTAAGTCTGTTCGCTCCTATCTGCTGGCGGGCAAATTAACACGTGCATCCCCAACCCTCGGTACCCGCACTCTTCGTTTTCGATCGTACCCCCTGTGGGGTATATCTTCCTTACCTGCCACTTGCACTGAGTGCAGCCCGTAAAACAAGTGGCAAAAAGAACGGATGGAAGAGGGAGGGAGAAGGATGGAACACGAGAGGGATTCGCAGGAGGGAGGCTAGGAACAGAAAATACGTGGCAGAACCAGACGGGCAGATCGGGCGGGTAGACCCTAATGGGCGGGATGGGAAGGCGGGCCCAGGCGGCCACGTCGAGCAGGAGGGTTGTTGAAGCGTGAGCCCTGCATGAATCGCGAGGAAGTCTCGAGCGATAGCGCTATTACCAGGGAAACCGTGAGAAAAGCCAAAGCGAGAGCATGATTCCTGAATGTCGAGGGAGCGGCGTCTTAATAAATTGCAAGGACATCCTGCGCGAGAGCGCGATTCTGAAATACACTGTCAGGAAATATCAGGCGGGAGCTGATGTTGTTGTAAACTGGGGGCCAGGGGCCCAGTTTGGTGGCACTTCGCTGTCCCTGTTGGAAAACAGGGTGCGAGCCCCGAGAAAGGCACTTCAATTGAACAAATAGAATCGTTACCAGAGGGGTGATCAAATATTTTTTACATATGAGAAATCAACGACAACAACCACAAGGTAGGAAGCAGCCGGAGTAGCGCAATCTCAGAATGAAAAAACACCGTGGGTTCTGGCGGGGGGATCAACAATGGTCGTTCTTCGAGAATGAGAACTCACAAAAAAAACACGACGCGACGAACCACACATGGGGTCAACTGGCCGGGGCTGGACGGGAGGGCTAAGAGTAGAAAACACGCGGCAGAAACAGGTGGGTCCATCGGGCGGGTAGACCCCAATGGGCGGGTCGGGAGGGCAGCCCCAGGCGGCCAGGTCGAGCAGGTGGGTTGCTGAAGCGTGCATGCTGCATGAACCGCGAGAGAGTCTCGAGCGATAGCGCGATTCCCACACGAATCGCACGAAAAACCAAAGCGAAAGCGCGAGTCTTGAGCGTCCAGGGCGCGGCGTTTGCAAAAGATGTAAGGGGGTCCCACGCGAGAGCGCGATTCCTGCACAAGTTGTGAGGGAGTGCTGCGAAAGCGTGTGCTCGCCCAAAAAATGATATGAAGAAATGCTAGGCGGGAGCCGATGTTGTTGTAAACCGGGGCTCAATACAACCCAGCTTGGTGATCCCAATTTTTCCCTTCTCAAAAATCAGATGCGAGCCCCGGAAGGAGCATTCCAAATTGAAGAACATCGGGCACGGGGGGTCAACAAAACTTCTAATGATCTAAACTTGTTATCCGCCACCGCGCTTGCAGCGGTAGGTGTGCGTGTGCTGTGTGTGTGCTTGTGTGCTTGTGTGATTGTGTGTTTGTGCGTTTGTGTGTTTGTCTGTGTGTGTTTGTGTGTTCGTGTGTTCGTGTGTTTGTGTATGTTTGCGTGCTCGTGTGATTGTGTGTTTGTGCGTTTGTGTGTTCGCGTGTCTGTGTGTTTGAGTGTTCGTGTGTTCGTGTGTTTGTGTATGTTTGTGTGCTTGTGTGATTGTGTCTTTGTGCGTTTGTGTGTTTGTGTGTCTGTGTGTTTGTGTGTGTTCGTGTGCTCGTGTGTTCGTGTAATCGTGTGTTCGTGTGTTCGTGTGTTCGTGAATTCGTGTGTTCGTGTGTTCGTGTGTTCACATGTTTGTGAAGCTGTCTGTTTATGTGTTTGTGTTTGTTGTGTCTGTGTCTGTGTGTGGTTATGTGTTTGTGTGTGTGGTTGTGTGTGTTTGTTTGTGTGAGCTTGCTTGTGTGGTTGTGTGTGGTTGTGTGAGGTTGGGTGTGGTTGTGTGTATTTGTGTTTGTGTGTGTTTGTGTGTGGCTGTGTCTTTGTGTGCGTGTGTGTGTGTGCTTGTGTGTGCTTGTGTGTTTGTGTGTGTGTCTCTGTGTGTTTGCGTGTGTGGTTGAGTGTGTGTGTGTGTGTGTTTGTGCGTGTGGTTGTGTGTGTGCTTGTGTGTTTGTGTGTGGTTGTGGGTGTGTGTGTGTGCGTGTGTGTTCGTGTTTGTGTGTGTGTTTGTGAGTGTGTGTGTGTGTTTGTGTTGTGTGTGCTTGTGTTGTGTGTGGGTGTTTGGGTGTGTGTATGTCTCTGTGGGTGGGTGTGGGTGCGAGTGTGCGTGTGGGTGTGTGGGTGTGTGTGCGTGTGCGTGTGCGTGTGCGTGTGCGTGTGCGTTTGTGTATGTTGGTGTGTTGTGTGTGTGTGTTGTGTGTGTTGTGTGTGTGTTTGTGTGTGTGCGTGTGTGTGTGCGTGTCGGGCCCTCTGACTCCTTGCAACGCAGCAGTTGGGCCCCTCCGATGCATCGAGCCCAAGATGCGCTCATTTGTATGACCGAGTTCCTGCGTTTCTGGCCGTCCAGGCAGGGAACGTGCCCCAAATACAAAATTGGGGGAGGGACCTTCCGTGGATCCCCCGCCCAGCGCCCGGCCCCCCCCCCCCCCCCCTGGGCGCCCGCCCGAGCGCGGCGGCGGCATCGCGCGGCAGCGCCACCGGAGTTTTCCAACCGAGAGCCCAACAAGCAACAGCCGTGGCCCTCGCGTCGCCCTGTGCCACTGCGCCGGGGGGGAGACGGGCCTCGTCCTGGCGGCGCGCGCCAAGATCGCGGCGCGGGGAGGAGAGGGAGGCCCTCTGAGAAGGCGGGGGGGCTTCTCGGAAGGCAGGGGCCTCCTCAGAAGCCCTCCCGGCTTCTCTGAGGTACAGTCGGACCTAGGCCAGAAGAACATCCTCCAAGAACATGAGACCCTCCGCCGGCCAGAACAAACAGAACATCCGAGCGTACCGTTCCCAGGATGCACAAGAACATCCAACAAACACGAAGAACACGTGCGTACCCTCCCGGACCGAACTCGATCAGGATGTCTCGGGCGCCGCGGCCTTCTCAGAGCGTGAGCGTTCCTGGACGCTCTGCAACTGATTATCTGATTATCCTCGTACTAGCCCCGCCCGGTCCAGTCCATCCTACATTCAAGCTATCATTTGCCGCACACTGATATTTGGCGAAGACGCCGTGCCCAAATACCCCCGAAGCGAGGTTTTGGTTCTAACATCTGTTTACTCGGCGGAGGCGCCGCGCGTTGCTGCTGAATGAATGTAAGAAGCCCTCAGCCTTACCAGACATCTGGCCGCTCCAATTTTTCGATGCGTGGGCCCTGGACCACTTCCCCAGGGCGCGTTTTTCGTCCTGCGTATCTTTGTTGACGGCCCCGAGGCCTGGCGAGGGCCCCCCGAGGCCGAAAGTGGCAAAAACCGGCCGCTCCGATTGCTGCGGAGCGTCGGAGCTCTGCGTGCCTCCGGAGACGCACCCAGTCCTCTTAGAAAGAGGCCTCGCCCTCGCGCCAAGACCCCTCCCAGCTGCAGCTCCAGGAGCCCGCCGGGCCGGTCGCGAGCGGCGGGCTCCTCGCCGCTCCCGTCGGCGCGCCCGGGGCGGGCGACTGCGCCGCCGCCGCCGTCGTCGTCGTCGTCGTCGCCGTCTTCGTCGTCGTCGCCGTCGCCGTCGTCGTCGTCGTCGTGGTCTTCGTCTTCCCGCCGTCGTCGTCGTCGTCGTCGTCGTCGTCGTCGTCGTCGAGCCGCCCATCGTCACTGAACAGCCCCCGCGCCTGGGCGGCCGCCGCCCGCTGCACCTCCCTGATCTTGCTGGCCAGCGCTGGGCTGATGCGGACCGGCTCCCGGGTGGCCTTGGCGCGCGGGCGTACCAGGAGGAGGGGAGGAGGTGGCGGAGGAGGAGGAGAGGGAGGAGGAGAGGAAGGAGTCAGAGGAGGAGGAGGGGGAGGAGGAGGAGGGAGGAAGAGGAGGAAGAGGAGGAGGAGGAGGAGGAGGAGGAGGAGGACATGTGAAACATCTGGAGGCCACGCGCTGGCTACACATGGGGAGGGCCGGCGCCCCTGGCCATACAGGGGCTGAGCGCTGGAAAAACAATTGGCCATGCGTGTATCCAGCTCTCGCCCAGGCCAGCCGCGGCATGTGTCGCCGCGCCGTTTGTATTCGACGCGCCCAAATGGACGACGCCGACACCACGGCAAACCCACGGCAAACCCTGCGTCCCGCGCTCCAAGTAGATAAAAACCGACGCCGCACCAAACCCCACGGCGAACCCACCGCGCCCGAGGCGGCGTTTGCCCTGGTGGCCGAGGCGCCCTCCCAAGACGGAAGGCCACGCATCGGAACAAACGGCGCCGCGGCATGTGTATCCCGCTCCAGCTTCCTGACACACGGAATCAGCGAGGACGCACGATAAGGACGCAAGGGCCTTGGAAGGTCATGTCGACAGCCTTCGAGCGGGCCGCGGCCAACGAAAGTTGCCAATGACGGACCGAAGGGGAAGGACGCGAGGGTAATTAACCTTGGCAGGTCGCTCGTCCTTGCTGTGCGCGCTGGCTGCAGCTGCCCAAGCCACGTGTCCAGAGCGCCGCGTGCCCCACCCGGGCCGGCAGCCACCAGGAGTGGAGCATAAGCCCCTGTCCCGCTGCAGGCCCCTCGATCCCTGACATGCAGGGTGGCTGTGGCATGGCCCTGGCCTCCGTCTCGATTTGTCTGGCGCGCACTGTGACGACACGTCATGTCCCCGAGGTCGCCCAGCAGCAGGAGGGGCGAGGGGAGGGTGCTTCCAAACTGCTCTGAAATGAGGATAAGCTCTGAACACAAGGAGGGGAAGCTCTGAAAGCGCAACAAGTGCAGACCCAAGCTCCTGTGGGGAGCACGAGGACAAGGCGAATGCTCGAAACAGTACAACTGCCTCACGCGAGAACCCATCGTGCACTGTCGCGTTCAAACCAAAAGGTCAGATCGATTTTGATTTCTACATTATGTTTTTGCCCAGCAAAACCCAGCCAAACAACGGCACGAACTGCAATACGGAAAGCAATACGAGAAGCCAGACGGCGAACCCTGGGCCTCCAGGGGCGGCAGAGTCTATTCTTATGGAAAAGAGCAAATATGAGGTTCGATGGGTTTCCCCCACGCAACCAGAGAGAAGGATAAAAGGAAGCAGACAACTCCAGACGATGCAGGTCGGTGAGGTGAGCGTGGAATCCTACCGAAAAGTTCGCGAAACGTGCAATCACAATGAATGATAGCGTCCGAGCTACAGCCCGCAAAATCCAGAAACAACAAAAATCAATGGGCTCTGTCCAGGGCTGTAGCGGAAACGAGGAATTACACGAGAAAACGGCCAGAGGGCCATCGACCCAAACTGCGAGGACGTTTGAAATAAACTGCCAGAGATCTACAGCGCGTGCGCCTCGGTCACGACACTACATAGGCGCGATACTCGGGAGCGCAAGACCGACGCATGAAACAAATCGCATGCTACGTGCTTGCACACGCAAAAAAAGAAACAGAGAGACGGAGAAAGAGAGAGAGAGATAGAGAATGAGTGTGAGAGAGATGAGAAACGGGGGAGAACATAACAACAACAACAACAACAACAACAACAACAACAACAACAACAACAACAACAACAACAACAACAACAACAACAACAACAACAACAACAACAACAACAACAACAACGACGACGACGACGACGACGACGACGACGACAACAACAGCAGCAGCAGCAGCAGCAGCAACAACAACAACAACAACAACAACAAAAACGAGACCGAGAAAAGGGAGAAGAGGGCCTTCTATAGTCGAAACATGGTCACAATAACGTGGGCCGAAAACAAAAGCCCCTTCGCCCAAGACCCAAGGCACCATGAAGACACCCCACACGAAGAACACTTCGAGATGAAGAGCCAGAACAGGAAGAGCATACGGGTATCCCTGCAAAGCCAAGGCTGTTCTCAATCCACCCTCGTGCCAGCTGAAGTTCGGAGCACGGCGAGTTGAGACAACGGCAGCTCGAAACCGATCCCCAGATCCCTCCCAGGATCCGAACGCACCAGTTTTCCGAGCTGCGCCCGGGCGTGGCGACGAGGGTCCCCCCCCCCCGAAAGCCAGCTACCACTGTCTCAACTCGCCCTCCTCGGAAGACAGTGCGGGGGCGGCCGCAAGAAACCTTAGCAAGAGCTGCAACCCTGACAATCCGCGCGCGCAGGGCAACCGGGGGGCACACGAGGCACCCTCAACGCCCGCGTGGAGTCGACGCGCAGCGCGCGCAGAGCGCGCAGCGTAGAAACCCGGTGCACCCTGACGAAAAGCATATGGCTTCTTGATAAGGGGTCCCCACTGTACAGTCGGACGGCCAGAAGAACATCCCTCAAGAACCGTGAGGCCCTCCGTCGGCCAAAACAAGCAGAGTATCCAAGGGTACCCTCCCCAGGATGCACAAGAGCATCCAACAGACACGAAGAGCACGAAGGTACCCCTCCCCAAGCCGACCTCGACTCTATCGTCACCTCGGTCCGACTGTAGCGCAAGCACTGCGCTGGATGCGCTCCCGCCGACCCCTTCACGACAGGCGGGGGTCCGTGGGGGGGAAGGGGGCCAGGCAAGATTGGAAGCGAGGCGGCGGGCCGCGCCTCCGAGCCAGGTCCTGCGCCCAGCGGCTGTCTCCGCTCCTTGGCCGCGTCCTCCACCCCAGCCTGCGCGATACCGGCGGCACCCGGCCCCCCCCCAAGTCACGATTCGATCAAGGTCAGACAATCAAGCTGGACCATAGAAGCACTCTGGTGCAAGCATGTTGTCAGTATCTGGCTGACGTTCTGCTCTGCTCTGCTCTGCTCTGCTCGTCTCTGCTCTGCTCTGCTCTGCTTCTCCTCCTCCTTCTCCCTCCTGGGTGCGGGGTGTCTGTCGGAGCTTGGAGGGAGCGGGAGAAGGGCAGACACGAGAGACGAGTGGCGCCCCAGCATCTCTGCCTGCGACAGAACCTGCAGCTAGGCGACGAGAAATGGCAACTGATCGAGCATCGAACGGACAGGAGATTCCGCTGAGGGGAGGTCAGGCGCAAGCGAAGACCGAGGGTTGGTTGGCACGCCCCCCCCCGATTCATCCCTCCAAAAACCTCACAGATCAATGCTGTTCTGGTTGCGTCTGCCCCACGTGCCCTGGGCCACACTCCTGGCAGTACGATCCATCATTGCGGCCGTGGGGATCCACAAAGCCTGCAAGAGCTTAGAACGGATCAAAAATGAGACCAAACCGTTTCCCATCTCGCCGCTTGCCCGATCCCACGCACTCACCACCCTTCTCTTGGTGCCACCCACCCGCAGCCGGTGACCCCCGTGGCGAAGGCCAGGCCGCGCATGCTGCCGTTCGCCATGGCCCCGAATCGGCCACACGCAAGAGTGGCACTAGGCAAGAGTTACCTCTGGTGCGCGGCTTCAGGGAGGCCACGAGGGGGCCAAAACAGAGCGCGCAAGCCACTGCTATCGCATCGAGGGGGGGGAAGGAGCAGGAACGAGGAGGAGGCGGAGGAGGAAGTTGGCTGCGACCGAGGACCCCTCAGGAGGTTGGCTGCGGCCGAGGACCCCGTCAGCCATCAGGAACCAGGAACCAGGAGGAGGAGGAGGAGGAGGAGGAGGAGGAGGAGGAGGAGGCTGAGCCTCTGCACCTCCTCTCCTCCGCCTCCTGGGGCTCCCGAGGCGTGCCCGCACCGGGGGGGGCACCTCGGGCGAACGGGCCACTCCTGCGCGCGGCCGCAGCGGCAGGGCGGCGGGGCCCCGCCGGGGCGGCGGCGGGGGCGGCCTCGAGCCGGCCCCCCCGGGGAGAGGGCCCGGGCCTCGAGCCCCGAGCCTGCGGCGCGGCGAGAGCGAGAGGCGGCCTGCGCCGGCCGGCCCGCCCGGAGGTCCTGGCGGTGCAGCTGCTGGCTCGAGGTCCGGGCGTGTTTTCGCTCCGCTTCGGGCCACGGGGCCCCCTCGCAGATCGATCGATCGCTCGAGAAGTGGCGCGGAGAGGTGGGGTCTGGGGCCCGGGGACTGGCTGTGACTTTTTTTTACGATGCTGCACTTTTGGGGGCAACGTCGGACTTCAGGGAAGGCGCCGAGGAGGGACAAAAAAAGGCGGGGGGGGGGCTGCTGCTCCGGAGGCGCGGGCCTCGTCTGTCGAGGTGGGGCCCGCGCCTTCTGAGCAGCCTCCCTCCCCAGACATCCGACGTCTCGATGTTTTCGAGACACGGGCCCCCGACCTCCCGACCACTTCCCCGGGACCGGTTCTTCATCCCGAGTCGTTTTTTGACGGTCCCGAGGCCCGGCGAGGGCCCCGGGAGGCCGAAAATAACGAAAAACCTCCGTCTCGATTTTTTCGAGACGCCCGAGGTCTGGGTCTGGGAAGCCCTCCCCCCTCCCCCAGGCCCCCTCTGCGCGTGGCTGGCGCGGGCCGCCCCTGCGCGTCGCCAGCTGCGGGGCCGGCGGGGGCCTGCGGGCGGGGCGGCGCCGCGATGCGGGGCGGCCCGGAGGACAGGGGCTCGGACCCAGTTTTTTTTTCCAGAGGGAGAAGATACAGTGAACACTGGTAGTAGGGATGCGCGAGAAGGATGCAAGCCCCGTGGACGCCCCATGCCAAAGCTTTTCGAGCAGTGCTGGCCATCGAAAGTGGTTTCCTAGACCGCGAGGATGTCAGGGCACCCTTGGGAAGGCTACCCATCCATATCGTCGGCTTCAACGGAAGGAGCGGACGACATGCCTCAGCAACCACCGTCGTAACGAGAAAGCCCGCCAGACCAGAAGCTGGGTCCAAGCACGTCTTGGTGAGACAAAGAAAGCAGGGCACAGAGGAGGAGGAAGGGAGGAGGAGGAGGAAGAGGAGGATGGACTAGGACCCAGACTTGAGTTCACTGCGCGGGATGTCGGGGAAAGGGGTCCCCCCAGGAACCCGAGAGCAGCACAAAGGAACCCCCCGCCACGGTTTTTGATGTTTTCACGGCGCGGGAGTGTCAGCGGAATGGGTCCCCCAGGAGCCCGAGATTAGCAGCGTGGTTCTGGTGGACCCAGACATGCTCGCGTCACGAAAAAATCAAGACGGGATGTTTTTGGCCACTTGGGGTCTCTGGGGGCCCTCGCAGGGCCAAGGGGCGATCAACGAAACGACTCGGGACGAAGAACCAGAACTGGGGAAGGGACGGAACTCCCCCAGACCACGTGTTGACAAAAAATGCATCGGATGCCTGGGGAGGTCTTTCGTTTTTTCCCGCATCCGAAGACCGCTCTCGGGGCCCAGAGCTGCCACAAACCTGCTGGTGGGGGACAGCCGATCCTCCAGTGCAAGGGCCAAGAGAGAGGAGGCCCGGAGACTCGAAAAGTTCAAGTCGCCGGAGGTCTGGGCCCCCCAGGTCTGCACTGCCCCGGCCTCCCTTCCCCAATCTCAGTGCAGTCGGACCTAAGACAGAAGAACATCCTTCGCGAGCATAAGAACCCCCGCCAGCGAGAGCACACGGAACAGCCAAAGGTACCATCTCCAGGATGCACAAGAGCACCCGACAATCACGAAGAGCACCAGGGTACCCTCCCCGAACCAATCTCGATCTTATACCTCGGTCCGACCGTACCTACCTGCACCCCCACCCTCCCGATGTCCCAAACTTCGGGCCTCTTGCCCTAATTTCTCCCCACCCCAGCAGCCACTCCTGATCTGTCCACCCCCCGCCCCTGCCCTGCTACCTCCCTCCATCCGCCCCTATGAAACTCATTTCCCAATTAATCTTCCCGCATCCAACTCTGACTGCTGGTCACGACTCCGCGTTGGGGCAGTGGTGTCTCGGTCGGCTGGAAACCTGCAGCACGCTGACAGACACTTGCAGACGTCCAGTATGAGATTCAGCGCCGCAGTGCTACAGATGTTCGGCACATCGGCTCTCCAGCAACGTTGCAAAAGCATAGTACATCCGCCACCAACCCTTCACGAAACCTCTGCGCTGTGTGAAACGATTGCGTCGAAGGGGGGCAGCTGGAGGAGGGACCAGGGAGAGGGCGGCAGGAGTGAAAGGAAGAGGACGATGGGGAAGCAAGGAGGGACGTGCGCGCATGTTGCCCAGCCCTTCTCTGGCACCTCGTCCATCCAGTGAAGCCAGATCTCCTCGTTGTCGATGCGGTCATTGGCGAAGAAGAGGAATGCCATCTTCACGTCCGCGCCAGGCACCGGCGGCATGGTGGCCGGCTTCATGCCCCACTCCTCGACCGGAGTATCATGCGAAGTCAATGTGAAACATGCCGACATGGTATCAGATATGTCTCGATATACCTGGCCCTTCCGGCAGCGAAGTGGTGAGACGCCATGGGCTATGGGCTATGGGCGCCACGCATCGCGGGGAGGCGAAGACTGTGTGGAAGGGCAGGGGAGGGAGCGAGGTGGGAGCCTCCGCTTGTTTCGAAACAGGTCCGCGCTCCGACGCTGTCTCGGGGAAGTGGGCAACCCGTCACACAGGGCGAGGGGGATGGAGGGGAAGCAGAGGCCTGGAAGAAGTGACGGAGGCGGAACCCGTGAGGGAGCCCCCGGGGCCCCCCGGACCACCTCCGCCCAGAGGGCCAGTGGGATCCGGGAGAGGCGCCCCCGAGCAGGGGGAGCCGCCGCATCCGCCTCGGTGTAAGTGCACGTCTCTCCGCGCTGGGCAGCCCAGCAGAGTATCGTGCAGACCCAGCCGCGATCGCGCCGTGGCAAAACCCAGAGGTCGGTTACATGTTGAGACTGTCCCGGCGAGGAGCCCAGCCCAAGCAGATGGGGAGAGAGCGCGCGCGGGGGAGGGCGAGGGGCGGGGATGGACTCGGGCTGCATCTCTGCGTGGAGGTGCGTGCCGATGCAGCGTTTGCGGGGCCACAGGCCCAGGAAGCTGGCACCTCCTCGGGGGCCCCTCCCCCACGGGAGCGGGGGGCACAACAGCAGATGCTTGCAGCCAAGAAGCGGAAACAAGGAACGGTCTTTGGTTCGGAAAGGGGCTTGATGTTCCTTCGGTGCTTCCACGGGTGATCCTCGGACCCTCCTCGTGCACGCAGGCGCTCTGGGGGCCAAAACGGGACGCTGTTCCTGCTCTGCCGTTCTTCGTTTGTAGACAAGCGCGTTCCACTACTCGCAAAGTCGCTACTCGCAAATGGCCTGGACCCGCCGCGGGGAATGCACGATACGTTGCACAAAGGCAGACGTATGGTTTGTCGGACGTTTGCGAGTAGGCACGTTGCGAGTAGTGGAACACACTCGGGGAGTTTGGGCAGCCCGACGGTGCACCCGGGAGTGGCCCTGGACAGGATGGACCGCGGGTGCGCGGCCTGCCGGCCGCTGCGTGCGATGCGGGAGCGGCGGCCAACCCTGGCCTGGCGCCCCGAAAGCCGCGCACCAGAGGAGGGGCAGGAGGAGGAGGAGGAAGAATTCCCAGAGACTCCAAGAGACGTCCCGTGCCACCCAGGTCGACTACACGCAAGACTGACCCTAGGCCTAGGTCGGGCATGTCCTTCTACAGGCGGATCTTGAGCGAAAAGCTGCAAAATAGTCCATGCATGCTCAGAAATAATCAAAAATAGCAAACAGATCGTCCCTGGAGTATTTTTGACTATTGTTGACTACTCCTCCTGTAGAGGGGCCTGCCCGACGTAGCCCTAGGCAAGAGTGACCTTTGGGCCGCGGCCTCAGGCGGCCGCGGGTAGGCCAGATCCGAGCGCGCAAGCCAGCGCTTGGGGGACCCCCGTGAGCCCGCACCAGAGGTCACTCCGCCCAAGGGTTGCTCCTGCGTGTAGCCGACCAGGTCTCCCAAAGCCTCCAACAGTGGGGGCCCGTGCCAAGAAACACCCTGCTTGCCTCCAGGGTGCCCTTGGTTTCTTGGGTTTCGATGGTTTTGCGACGGAAGGCGTGACGTTCCCACGCCAAAAATCGATGGACGTCCTGGGGTCGCAGGATTGGTCTTGCCTTCAGGTCCAGAGAGGTCCGTACATGCGGTCAAGAAGCCCGTGTTCCCTGACCTGGCCTCGAGACAACACCATCAGTGCGCCTAACTAGCTCCAGGATTGCCCCCGATGCCCCAAGGTCGCATCATCATCCCCAAACTAAACCTCCAGGCGGACCCGAGAAAACTACAAGCATCTCCAGCCGAACTGTCACCTAGCCATGAGTCAGTCAGAGAGGGGAGGCAACGGTGAAAAGCAATGCCCTTTGCGGATTCAACGCTGGAAGATACAACGGAAACTTGCCGTCACGATGGAGAGGGTGCCACATTGATATACGATTTAACGGCGGGTGGGGAATCTCCATCGCAGTGAAGGGGTCTGCTCCCCAAACTTCGCGATTGTCTTAGACCTCATGCAGCACCCCCCAAGCATTTTACCATGTCTGACGCGCCTGGCCATCGCGCAGGTTGGTCATCTCCTTGGTCCACGGCCTGTTGAAGATGCCAGCGTTGGCCTTGCCAGGCGGCTGCTTGTCGTTCCTCCACGAGGGCACAGGAACGCGTCGGAAGTTCAGGCACAGAGAGCGCGATGCACGAGTCAAGAGTGTGATGCAAGAGGGGCCGAGCGGTCGACGCGAGAAACCACGCGACCAGGCCAGGAGCGCCCTGTGCAATCTCCCCATATGATGGGTCTGGGATGCGGCAGGCCAGCCTCCGTCGCCTCCTCCTCCTTCTCCTCCTCCTCCTCCTCCTCCTCCTCTTCCTGCTCCTTCCAAACCCTGAGATCACTCGAACTGCTGACCCCACACGGCGGGGCCATGACGCCAGCGCCAGTGTCTGACACCTCGTGGATCGTTCGATCTGTCGCGGCCTCCCGATGCAGAGGCTTCCCCAATAGGGTACGGGGTCCGAGTAGATGGGGCCGGAGGATTGCGCCGCATCACCGATGCATCGGCGCCATCGGCGTGGAGAAAATCCGTCCCCACATCGAGCCGGATGGGCGATGCATCGGCGATGCGGCGCGATCCACCGACCCCACCCACTCGGACCCCATCTGGGAGCCTTAGGCTCCCGATGGCGCAGATCGATCGGAATCGGCCGATTCTGGGCTGCTGGGAAACGCTCAACCTCGCCCGCGCTGGGGTCGCAGCTGCGCCGACGCGGCGCGGCCCCGCTGTGCACCCAGCCTGGCGACTCGACCGACCCGCGCGCGGCCCGCGCCCGCGGGGGCCTGGTCGACTCCACCTTCTGGCACTCGCCCGTCTGGCGGCGAGGCGGCCGCACAGCCCCGCGGGGGGGGGGCGGGTGCGGGAGGGGAGGAGGCGAGTAGGAGGAGGAGGAGGAGGAGGAGGAGGAGGAGGAAGAGCAGGAGGTGGGGGAGGAGGAGGAGGAGGAGGAGGACGACGACGACGACAAGGACGAGAAGGAGGAGGAGGACGAGGAGGAAGAGGAGGAGGAGGAGGGGGAGGAGGAGGAGGAGGAAGAGGAGGAGGAGGGGAACTTGAGGTAATACGGCTTTGGGGCGCCTGAGCTCCGTTAGTGGGACCAGCTTCCTGAAGTCACAACCCTGTAGAACACGGTGGCCCGTTGAAAAATATGACCTTGGGGACATCTGGGTCCAGGCCACCCGTGGTGGGCCAACGAAGGAGGAGGAGGAGGAGGAGGAGGAGGAGAATGTGGAAGAGGAGGAGGGGGCAGAACAGGGCAGGAGGAGCCCGCGACCAGCAAGGCCGCAACAAGCCAACTTTCAGGGCACGCGGGGCAGAAGGCGGCGAGCCAGGCTCGGCAGCGGTCGACGTCGATCCTGCACGTGCAGGCGCATTGACATCCTCAAGGCTCAAAGAACCAGAGGGACAGGCAAAAGGGTCGATGGAGCACGCCGCCACGGACTCCGCGGGCAGAGCGGCCGCGGGGGAGAGAAGCGGGAGACGGATACATCCCTTCGTCTGGAGGGGCCAGCAGAGCGGCAGGGAGCCCGCTGACAGCGCTCCAAACAGGCGCAGAGGGTCTCACGTCTCACTGCCAGGGACAGTGCAGTCGGACCTCCTAGGACAGAAGAACATGCGTCAAGAACATGAGACCCTCCGCCGACCCAAACTGGAGAACGTTCGAGGGTGCCCTCCTCCAGGATGCACAAGAACATCCAACAAACACGGAGAACGCCAGGGTACCCTCCCCGAATCGACCTCGATCTTATACCTCGGTCCGGCTGTAGCGTGACAGGCATCGCCTCCCGCTGGCAAGCTTTACTTTTGTAAGCCGACCGGACAGGGCGGCGGGGTGCCAACCAAAGAACAGACTGCAACCTCTCCACGTCGCCGTTACGAAAGTTTCGTGGAGGTATGCCACTGCGCCCGATGGCATGCAGTGCCTGCAAGCACGAGCTCAACCGGCGACAGCGACCCCGAGGGGGGCGAGGGCTCGGGAGGCGTCGAACCCCATCCTACCCCTAGCAAGGCACCCGTCCTGCGTGGTCTGGGTGAGAGCCCGCTCCCCTGACGCATTCTACCAAAATGTACCACCGTGCCTTCAGCACGCAGTCGAGTGTCCCGAAGCTCATGCGAGTGTACGAATTTGGCGGATTGCACTCTTAAGGGCCTGGGCCACAACTTCCCGGAATTACCAGGCGTTCTTGGGCGCTCATGGGAAAAATGATGACATCTGCAGGATCTGGATGACCCGCTTTGATTAATGGCATGGTCTGGCAGGCCCAGTAGGGAGGGGGCTCCCGCTCGAGACTTCCTCCATGTTGGCTAAGGGCCAAGGTTCCCGGCCGAGACTTCCTACACAGTCAGGCCTCAAGAGCTCAACAGTGACGACAGTTGCAGGATCTGGATGGCCCGCTCTGATGAATAACATTATGAGGCAGCCCCATGGGGAGGACATGATCTGGCTGCGCAATAGGGAGGTTGCTCCCGCTGGAGACTTCCTTCACTTTCAAACCAAAAATTGGCCAGCCCAACGGGCCAGAGGCGTGCGCTAAGATCTCCGGTAACTACTTGACAATATTTCTAGTCCGCGCGCGCGAGGCGGGCCCTGGGGGGCCCCGGACGAAAAGTACACCGGCTGACCTCCGGCCGTGTCCCGGCCGGGTCCCGGGCGATCCCCAGGGGGGAGGCTATGTTTCGCCAACCCTCACGAGGATCGTGGCCTCCGAGGGGGGGGCTGCAATCGACTACCCCCCCTCCCGCCCCAGGGGGCCCCCAAGAGCCCCCCAAGAGGCCCCAGGGGAGCCCAATACGCCGCCAAGGAGCCCCAAGACGCTCCCAAGAAGCCCCCAAGAAGCCCCCAAGACGGCCCCAAGAGACCCCAAATAGCGTTCCAGGGCCAGCAGAATGAGCGAAGCGATTAAATAACGATAGATACAGGATCTCAGCTGCCCCGATACGCAACACGCAACACGTAGCGTATTGATACGGAACTCAACACGTAGACTGAACACGCACGCTTTGAATACGGACGTTTTGAGCACGGCACGTGTTATGTTTCAAAACGTGCGTATCAGAGCAGCTAAGTACAGGATCTGGTTGACCCGCTCTGATCCGATGACTAACATAATCTGGCAGCCGCATTAGGAAGGTGTGCCGCTGGAGACTTCCTTCCTCCGCATTCACTCAGGGAAGAGGCTCCCGCTCGGGACTGCGTCCAGATAGAGGCCTCAGGAGCTCACAAAAAGGTGGCAGCTGCAAGATCTGGACGACCCGCGAAGATTAATAACATGACCCAGCGCCCCCTAGGGAGGGGGCTCCCGCTCGAGACTTCCTCCATATTGGCTCAGGGGCGAGGTTCCTGGTCTCCTGCGCGAGACTTCCTCCAGATTCAGGCCTCAAGAGCTCAAAAATCTAGAGACGGGGTTCCCGCTGGAAACTTCCTCCATATTCACTCAAAGACGAGGCTCCCGCTCGAGACTTCTTCCAGATTGAGGACTCAAGAGCTCAAAAATGATGACAGCTACAGGATCTGGACGACCCGCTCAGATTGATGACATGACCGGGCGGCCACATAATGAGGGGGCTTCCGATCAAGACTTCCTCCATATTCACTTAGAGACGAGGCTCCCGCTCGAAACTTACTCCAGATTCAACGTCTCAGGAGCCCAAACAGTGACGACATTTGCAAAATCTGCATGGCCCGCTTTGATTAATAACATTATCCGGCGGTCCCATGAAAAGGGGGCTCCTACTGCAAACTTCCTCCATATCCACTCAGAGACGAGGCTCCCGCTCGAGACAACCTCCATATTCACTCAGTGACGAGGCTCCCGCTCGAGACTATGACCGATTTTATAATGATCGATGATCGCGATGGGATGGTGATAGTAATGGTCGTGGTATGATGATGATGGTGATGATGAGCGTGAAAACATGGCGTGGTGATGGTGATGGCAGATGCACATGGTGGGGTAGTGATGATGATGGTGACGATGAGGATGAGGATGTGATGAGGATGATGATGCTGAGGATGATGCTGGTGATGATGAAGAACAAGAAGAAGACGAGAGGAGGAGGGGGGAATAGAAGGTTCCTGCGCAGTGTGTCCAGAGAAAACCAGAAACCCACTCAAAGTGTAGGGAATAAGGTGCCCGTATTCCCAGGCGGGACGCAAGTCCTGCAATTTGATTGCGCATAGTCGTTGTCGTGCGATCATGTTGAGAGCATCTCTGGGTCATAATGGGGTCGTGGAGACTTGTTCAGGTATCGCTTCGGCCAGCTTGGGCCCGAAAGTTGGCCATCGCGTGGACATTGTGGAATATATCGGAGTCACCCGTTGCTTATAGATTGGGCCACCTTAGGGTTGTCCTGCGGCCAGCCGCAGCCACATCGAGATCATGTGCGGATCACCGGGCCCTCTCGGGGTGGCCCTGAGGCCTGAGGGCACAGCACGCGATCGTCGCATCGACGCGGCTACGACCCCGCCGCCGGCGTTCAAAATTGAATATCGCCAGAGGCCCAGAATCGGCCTAGATACATTGAACGATCTGGCAATCGAAAAGCCGCCGGAATTCCCAAATTGAACGATCCACGAGACGTCGGAAAACAACGCAGGAGTTGGCACGATACGAATCTGCCGCATTGGTCGGTCGCTTGGTGCTTTGAGGTCACCGTAGAAACAAACGTACTGGGGTAGCGGAGCCACCTTGGCATCGATTTTGGTCGTCTGGAGGTCATGCGCGCTTCCAAACTCTTGCTGCGGCAAAGTATGCGATGTGAACCTTTGTCAGGATCCACTAGAGCATGGTCCATCTGCTTATCGCTTGCATCCGTGCCTCGGAGCGCAAAGGAGAGGCGGCCCTTGTGGTGCCATAATTCGCCTTAGAATGGCGCGCGCAATGCTGGATGCAGGGAGGCGAACCTCCAATCCCATACCGTTCAACCGCGAAGCAGGGCTCGCGGCCTCCCGCAGGGCAGGGATCCGCGTGTAAGCTGATGCCAGGAATCAGCCCGCGAGAGCAGCAACGCTGCTTAAAAGCATCGCTGAAGAGCCTGACGGTGAGCACGATGAACATGCACGCCATCGGCGATGCCTCGATTGAGAAGACAGGCGTCCCTAAACTTACAATGCAGATCTTGTGTGGAAGCGGAACTCTGCTCATTTGGGGAGTCCCTCTTTGGCCCACCCCGCCATCATTCCGCGAGAAACTGAAATCCAGCACCCATACATCGAAAATTCGCATCGGTGGCATAGACCGTGTTCGTTTTCAGGTCAGGCGCATCAGCTGGCGAGCACAGCTGATGTGCCATGCGCATAGTCCCAAGCAAGCGGGTTGGCGTGAGGGGGCATCCCAGAGTGGAAAACGTTGTGAAGCAAGCGCAGGCAAACATAATCAATCAAGCAACGGCACCACTCACGCATCGCTCTCCGAGTCTGACATCCCCGCCCGCACAGCCCAGGTCTGCGCCACTTGGTTCCAGGTCCTCGCTCTAGAACATGATGAAACCGTCTGAAGAGCCAAAGAGCCCCTCGCGATCGGCGTTTTTCCTTTCGAGCACACCTGCCAGCACCACTGCTCTCCTCTGCTCCGCGAGCCCTCGGCGGCCCGGCGCCCCACCCCTCGGGTGCCCCCTCGGCCCGGGCCCAACGGACCTCACGCGAGAAGAAGCAGACGAGGACCAAGCAGAAGCAACAACGCATGCAGAGACAGAACGGCAGTGACGCAACAGCAAAACCCGCCCCGCACCCGCCCCTCCGCGGCCGGCACGAAGTGACAGCGTTCAGTATGTCATGGAGCAAGCGCCCTGGCTTCCCGAAAGGAGTTGGTCGGAGCCGGGTGCGATTCTGATTAGCCCCCGCCTCGTTCTTGCCGTGACAGTAGCTCACTGACCAGCCTCATCCAAAATTTACGACGCGCCTGACACTTGGGTTCAGCCGACCGCTGCTGGCCGGGTCATCACGGGAGCTTGTTTTCGCAGGGTTTTGTTGTCAAAATGCTGCTTTCGATAAAGCGCTGGTGTCATGTTCTGGCTATCGTTCGTTCCAAATCGTGTTCCCGCTGCAGCGCTGGCATCATTTCCGCGCTTCCGCTCGTTCCGACTCGTGCTCCCGCTGCAGCGCTGACGTCATTATTTCGAGTGCCATGCCCTGGTATGGCTTTCGGTCCTTCCGAATAGGCCCCAAAATCTAGAAAGTGGCCTCCCAAAGAAACCATCGGAAGTGGTTACACATTCGGTGTCGATTCGTTGATTTCTGGAGCCGCAGAAGCCCCCCACACACATCGTGGGGGCGTCGGCACGCCATGCTATGTCATGCCACGCGATATTCGACACCATGCTACGCCATGTAATGCTATGCCATGCTACGATATCCGATTGTGCGACTAGAAAGGAGATCTACGCCATTGTAAGGGATGGAAGGGAAGGGTCGGACGTCATATATGACGCGAGCGCACCCAGCTTGCCCTCTCCCCCTCGCTCTCTCCCTCCCCCCGAGGCGTTCCTCCCCGGGCGCGCACCACACTCTCCTCCCACGAGGGGGGCATCCAGCGCCGCTGCGTGCCCCGAGGTCTCCTCTCTGTGACATCCTCCGCCGACTGCCCGAGGCACCCGCAGGAACAGCACGACCCCAAAAGCCCCGAGATCTTAGAATGCAACTACTGGGAGGTCCTCGTCGGAATGGAAACAGAGGATTGAGCCCCATTGGGGGGCTGTTACGCAGGAGTGGGCCTGGGATCAAGCGGGACTAAGCCGGATTAGCCGGGATTAAGCAGGATTCTAAGCCGGATAAAATGGGGACAAGCCAGATTTAGCCGGATTTCGGACCAGGGCGAAATCAGAATTTGATATCCCACGAGTTGCATCCGAAGAGATCTCGTGAAGTTACACACAACTACCCGTGGCACTCGAGGCATCCGAGGCACCCAAGATGTCCCTGACGCCTGCTCATACAGCCGCGGCGCTGGCATGCGGAGTCCCAGCCTAGGGGCGAAGGGGCTGTCCTGGCCAAGGCGAGCCGCGGCCACGAACAGGTTCCCCGACCTGGATTTACCAGGAGGCTGGAAACATACGTGGCCGGATTCACATGTGGAACATCCCGAGGCCACTTGATGGATAGACATGTGGATTATCGATCGGGAGGGGGGAGGCGGAGGGTAGACCCTAGCTGCAATCTTTGACTCTGATCCTGCCTGGGGGGGGCCCTGTCGCAGGGCGCGCTGGCCCCTTCGACAAGGGAAGCACGAGCCTGCTCACCGTGCCTGGCCACACGAGGGCGGAGGGCCGGAAAGACGCGCGGCCACCCAGGCCGGCCACGGCATGTGTATCCGGCGTCCCGGTAAGAAGCGGGCCAAAATCCAGAGCCCCTCCAGAGCCCAAAGGGGTCTTTGCTTCAGCGTCTGCATTGTATAATCGGGGAGACGTAAGACTCGGGTTCGGGGGACTCAGGTGGGCCTGACGGGGCCGTCAGGGAAATGACGAGACCCACTCTGAAATTTAACGAGATTTCCGCTGCAGATCGTCAAAGAACGTAGGCGAACCCGAGTTCCGGCAAACTCGAGTGCTTGGCGGCGCGCACTAGGGGGTAGAGGGGAGAGGGGAAGGCTTCTTAGAAGCAGGGGTGCTTCTAAGAAGCCTTCCCCCCTCTCTCTACCCCCCTCTGCGCGTGGCCGAAGTCTTGCGTTCCCCCGGTATGAACACCTGCACTCGTGCGAGAAGGCGCTGGCAACAGACATCCTGCGAAAAAAACTGCATCGTCAAAACCCAGGGCGAGTTCGACAAAGAGCGTAGGCGAATCCGCGCTCCAGCGTACTCGAGTCCTTGGCGGCGCGCACAAGGGTGTAGAGGGGAGGTGGGAAGGCTTCCCCCCTCCCCCTGCCTGCGCGTGGCTGACTTATGGAAAATCATGACGGGAAGGTTTTGTCAATTTTCGGGTTCCAGGGGCTCTCACCGGGCCCCCCGACCGTAAACGAAAAGAACAGCTTGAGATGATATTTGCCAGTCGTGGAGAGCCACGCTGTCAAAAGATCACGACGGCGGATTACAGGGCTTAGGTCGGGCATGTCCTCCTACAGGGAGATGTTCGACGAAACATGAAGAATAGTCAAGAAGAATGGCTCAAACAAATTCAAAACATCGCCCCCAGGCTAGATTTTCGACGACTCTGAATCCTGTAGAGGGACGTGCCCGACCTACGGGCCTCTGCGCGCGGCCGAAGTCTCACGCGCCCCCCGCGCGAGCGGCTGCGCTCGTGCGAGAGAAGGCGCCGGCCAGAGAAGCGGGGGCCGCTGCCCGTGGGGGGGAGGCCCCGCGGCGGCGGCACGGGGAGGGGCCTCCCGGCCTCCCGGCGCCCCCCTGCGGTCGCTTCCTCCGTCCTTCGCCGGCCTCCTCCCTGCCCTCCTCGCCTCCCCGCTTCCCTCCCAGGGTCGCGCCGCGCCGCTCCCCTCGCCCTCTCGACGCGCCCAGGCCGGAAGGGTAGCCAAAGCCGCCCCCACCGCCGCGCTCTCCGCCCGCCCTCCCGCGTCGGGCGCAGCTCGCCGTCGCGCGCCCGCCTCTGTCCAGGATGTATTATAAGATGGTCGGCAACGAACGTCGAGCTCGGGTCGACTGACGGCCACCCGAGGTCTGGGCTCCCCTCGGAGTGTCGGGGAGCAAGACTACACTCGGCGCCTCGGCTGTCTATAACCATGCTGCGAGCCAGGGACAAGCATGCAGCCTAAATCCAGGACGTGCTGGAGCGTGCCCATCACCGTTGACCAGCAGCACAACATTTGCATCTGGAAGCCCACCGACAAAAACCTGGGGGGGCCTTCGGGGTCCCTGGGCGCCTCGGAGGTCCATGACCGCATGTGTCCAATGCCGTCCAGCTCTGCCCGCGCGTCGGCCGCGCACCCGCTCCAGGGCCGCCTATAGGGGAACGAAAAATTACATAAACATAAAATTTCGGAGGTCCGTGCGGACCTCCGAGTTTGTATGTATATGCAATGTTTCGCTCCCCCAGCCCAGGCGCAGCTGCGCAGCCCAATAGTCAGACGTCTGAGAGGCACCCGAGCCAC